TGAATATTAGACTCAATTTTGTATTTTATACTTTCTGATCATTTCAGTCTGTAAGGCTGAAGCTGACAAAGAGTTGGTGTGTTATCATGTGTTCTTTCTCTTAGCCTAAACCAAAATGAGTGACGTTCTGACGGAAAAGGTAACACCTCCTGGGATGTAACCAGGAAGAAAGATACATTATTATAGAGGGGGAGAAGTTGTCAGTGTTTTGCAGAGTGTCTGCACAGAGCAGAGCTCTTGCCTGTTTGTTTTGACTCAGCCTAAGGTCTGACTGAAGCCTGTGCTGCTGAGCGCTGAATGAACCTGATTGGAGTCAGAAGATTGAAAATAAAGTTTTAAAGAAGAAATCCAGCAGATTCCTGTTTATTCAAACATACCATTTTGAACAACGTATATTTTTCCAACATTACGATAATTATTTGAAGTGCACACATATAATAATAATTAATAATAGTTTGTTTTGTCATTTACAATAATTTAACATTTTGTTTCTTTGAGTTGTCAGTTCCTTTGGAGAGGCTGCTACAGTTGTCCTGCCACTCAATTTAAACAGCCCAGCTGCAACAAGATGTCACAGCTGCATTAGGTCACACCATGGTGAATGTTAGCAGAGGGAGAAGTTTAATTTTACGATTCAATTTTTGATGTTTTCCATTAGTTTATTTTTTTGAGACTGTRAGTATTTGTTTTCTTAGATTACAATTATTACTTTGATCAGTTTTGTCGTGAATTTCTTTAGTTATTTAGCATATTTCACTTGTTTTTCCCCTTGTGTGTCAGAATATYCTGATAATTGCATCTCTTGTCTTAACATCATGTTGTTTTTATTGTCTCTGTTACATAACAGATATATCCCTCCACTGTACTTTTAATAACAGTCCTTATAGACTCTGTAACCAGAAAATAACTACAATGTACCAATAATTATTTAGGCAAAGTTACTAATCAGATTACCGGCACATGTTGTGGTTAGTTATGTAGAGACAGATTACATAGTATAGATCGGTGGTTCCCAAAGTTGGGGTCGGGACCCACAGTGGGGTCCCGAAACGTCAAGGTGGGGTCCTGAAAAGATTTTCTGAATTAATTACACTGAAAAATTACAACTATCAATATTTTTTGACTTTGTTGTTACAAAAGTGTAAAGTTAGTGGACTTAAAATGGACAAAACGAGAGTAACAAATACTGTATTGTTACTATGCTCTTGTTTATTTGACGTGAAAACAATGTTCATCAACCAACAACAGCTGGGGACACAGGTCTCTGCTGCTGGTATTTTGCGGGTCAAAAGCTGAAAAGTTTGGGAACCACTGGTATAGATCACAGATTTTTTTCCCCTTTTGTCCAAAAAACACATTTTCACAATTTAACATTAACTGTCAGCTTTTTAAAATACAATAGAATGTTGGCAAAAATGTATGTATGTTAGAGAGCCAAGCAGACTTTGAGGTTTTATACAAACTTTATTAATAAAAAATGGTTAAATGGTTACTTTTAACATGAAGGTTGCAGACCTTCTGTCACAGACAGCAGACACCACTCAGTGCTGGTTTGTGTTGTGATGGTGACACCTGCTGTAAAAATGTTTTATGTGCAGACGTTTGGTCTAATTTTACATGATCATAAATATTATCAGAGGTGRAAGGAACAAAATAATCCACAAACAAAAATTTAAACACAAAAGTGAAAGTTTTTTCTTATATGAAAAACCTGAAACTCAAAAACATAAATGAGGCTTTTTTTATTTTAAATAAAAGAAACAAGTCTTTAAAAAGCAAGAAATAAGAGGCAGACATTTTTTTCATTCCAAAAACAAAATTTTATAAATGTTTTGTAAAATGTAAATACTAAGTGAGGTCAGTAACTATAAATGATTTATTTAAAAACAACTTTAAATTAGATGGAAAAACCAAATCAACACCAGGGATGGGCAGCCCTGGGTCTCAAGGGCCACTATCCTGAGGTTTCTCTGCTCCAACACACCTGATT